TGAATCACCTGATTCTCCTTGTACCAGAATAGACTGACTGCCTGGTTGGAAGATTTCACACAATAACTGCATTGCAGTTTCAATCGTCCTTCTTCCTTGATCATCATCAAACTGGGTGAAGTCTCGTTTTCGTTGAACGCAACTGCGGTCGCTATGAAAAACAGTAGAGTTAATGCTAAGTGGCATAAATATAGTTTGGACTCTACCCAGAGTTAGGTTTTTTAGGATATATCAACAAAGTTGAAATGGTAAATTGGCCACCGTAACGATTACAAAAGCTGACGTTTCGACCGTTAGCCCTTCGTCGGAGCGAAGGGCTAACGCTTAGGTTTCTTAGGCAGAGCTGTTAGGCGAAGGTTAATTTGAGCTCTGACAGGGGGCCCAAAACATTTTTATGCGCAAGAACTCCATAACCACTATTACCACTTAGAAAATATAGTAGCTAGAAGAAAAATGACTAAAACAAAAATCTGGACAATACGCGAGCGTGCTAATGTATTTTAGCTCACCAAAAACTCCGTTTAGCCAGCAAAATGCGCGACAATGCTCGACGGATTGATAAAATTTTTCTTTAGACGAGCTTAAGATCATTTAGATATAAATAGCGTCTTGCTTGTCAATACTATGAAATAATTGTTGCCATAATCGTTTGCCGACTGCATATTTTCTTGCCTCTCTCACTAGATAAGGCCGACTAGTTAAGCATCGACAAGAAAGCAGGATGTCATTAATCTCGGCTGAGAGGGCAAGCCGGCAAAAATATTAAGGATCAAAATGCGCTGATCCCAGCTACGGAAAGCCATGTAGCAGACCACGTTAAAGATTTGCTTAGTGTCATCGTAGTCATATATGGAACTTGGCCACGTGCTTGTCATGAAGTTGACAACTGTCACGTCGGACATTTGACTTAAACGATGTCTTTATTTTCATGTGCAAGGTAATCTGAAAAGCTCACACATACTTCACACCACGAAGATCACTTCCCTTCTTCGAATCACTGCATTCTCAGAGTGAATTCGCAGAAAAAAGAACTAGATTGATTTTCGACTGAACTGAAATCCAGCAACTGAAGCTTCTCGTAAAAACAACTTTGTCGATTAAGCGCGTAGAACAGCATCCCACGTAAACGCCCTTGGGCGTTTTTTTTTTTTCGGTAACGAGACGCCTATAGTATCGAGATATAATATAGACTACAATGATACCTGTGTCTTTTTTTTTTTTTTTTTTTGGTAACGAGACACCAATAGTATCGAGATATAATATAGACTACAATGATACCTGTGTCGTCACTGAGGTTGCCACAACTCTGGCTTGCTAGAGTACTTCCATCAGGATTTTTCGACAAGGCCGACAAAACAGGATGAGATGTTGTTCCTCGCACGGTAGTTGGTAGAGTAGATTCTACTGTGGGTGACGGTTGAAGTTTGTTTAAGGGAGCAGGAACTTCTCCTTGTGATGAGGATAGCATACCTCCGGAATGCCCTGTGCTCGCGGGATTTGATGCCTTCGAGGGATTTGCTGCACTCACGGGATCTGATGCATTCAACGCATTGGAAGAATTTTTGGGATTTGAAGCACTTGCGGAAGGCGCTGTAGTTACGGGATGTAGATTATTCGCGGGTCGGCCATTTCGGGAAAAAGCTGATATCGCAAAGAAAATATAGTCAAAATGAGGTAAACAAAAGAGTCGGTATAAATCGCAGCGGTGTTTCCGCTGCTAATCAGCTTTAACTTTTACATATATTTGGTAATAATTACTGAAGGGATGGTTGGCAAGCAACTATAAGTTGTTAAAGGTAAGTACACCACAGCAGAAAATTCTGAAAAGGGGCAGCATTAATCCCTCGTACGCTTTTTGCTTTACCAATTTTTTTCTCTTTTAATAATTTTTTTAGTTGATAACAAACCAATCGTTTCTGTTTCCCGCGGACGGAGCACATTTTCGAGAAGATACTTCATTTGTAAGAAAGTATTCCTACAACTTTTTCAAAGGTCTGTCAGGTTATTACTCGTTCAGATAAACTTTCTCCGTGTTTCATTTTTTTCAGAAAATGCCAGAATTTTTTTCTATTTCATGACTATATTATTCGCTCGAGATTAGAATATATAGCGAGTAGCGTAGCCAATCAGACTGCAGCATCTTTGATTGGACGCTAGTGGTCGATTTTATATATAAAACGTCGAGTATTTCCGTGTGGATATCACCTCCCCCTTTTTTTTTTTTGTTTAAGTTGTACAGTAATTTATAAATGCCAACTTGCGTTTTTCTTTTTTTATGAAATAACTAAGATACTTTGAGGACCCTGATTGGTCGAGACCTGATTTTATTCCTTTTTTTACAAAAGCAATAAACTGCACTTTCTATGCGTTTACCGGCTAAATAATCACACTTAGAATTGTTGCGACAACACGAGAAAAGTTAAAATGGTTGTTTGTTTTTTAATACATTTTCCTATTTTGGATTTGATAAGAAAAAGAGAACCTGGTATCTATCGATAAACTCCTTTGAATTATTAACCCAAACCTCTTCAGATATCTTACCTTCCACGGTCAAAAGAGCCGTAGCACTCAGAATAGTCTCTCCATGTTTTCCTCGGATGCAACAAATGTACTTTCCAGTGTCGTTGGCGCAAAGCTTATTAATCTGCAGTTTAGTCGCTGCGTTTGACAGCTTGTATTTGTTTTCACTGAGATTAGGCGCCAGACCATTTTCAAACAGTACGAAATGACCCGAGGTACCTTGAAAGGACCAGGTTATGTTTAGTGGCACTTTGCTGTCTGTATCTTGGCAGATAAGTGTCGTATTGGATCCCTCCAAGGCAAGTGTAGTGTCATAAGAGAACACAAACTTTCCTTGATGTGACAAAAATGCGCAAGATCAGTTTTGAGCGCAACTGAGTCTGACTGCTATCATAACTTCAAAAATTGTCAAGTGTGGAATGAAAAGCACATATCGCACAGCTGAGCCACGCGCATGTGTTTTAACAATATCCAGGATTTTTTTCTTTCTTTATATGCAGTGCACTTCCCATAGAAAAATGCGAGAGACTGAAAGAGAATTTTTCGAGTTCGAAAAACTGAAAAGCGAAATAAATAGATAACATATGTTGCGACAAAGACAAATTCTCAGCTGAGCTTAAAATTATTTGCTCCAAACGGCGAATTGAGCGGAATTGTCGTGTAATTTATGAAACTTCGCAAGTTAACTATTATCTCTTGCTATCTTTTCTCGTTTTGTCCAAAAGATGAAATGCCACGAAACAAGAGTTTCTTTCTCGGCGTAACTGTCCAAAAAACTTAATTCTTACGGTCAACACGGCTTTATCCGTAAGGTAGACTGAGAAATATTGGAATTCAGCCGATTAGTATGGATAAAATTGAACGTTATATATCTTACCTGCTACTGTATTCGGGAAAAGACAGATGAAAACCGTGCTCAGTAGTATAAAAATCTTCATTGGACAGCCACGTCAAAGACAGTTTAACCAGTCTCAATGTAACATAAACCGTCGCATGGTGTTCCTCGTTTGCTGGCGAATTCAATTTGATTTGTTTATCGTCTTTGTGACGTCTTAACGCGCGCGCGACCATGTGTTCCCAGAATTCCAAGCGATTTCATAAATGCACCGGTTTCAATCTCTTATGGTCAAACCGCGTACTCGTCACAAAAATGTTTGAAAGATCTCACACTTCAAAGTTGGGCCTCGATCCCCTGGGTTCGTGCGCATGAGTATTTCTCCTCGCCGATTTCCATGACTTGCGCGACAGATGAATGTGGGAAATGTGAACTGCCCGTGGTCTACAATGTACGCCCGTATAAATCTTCAAAGAAAGAGGTGAAATGATCTCAGTTTATCTATGGATGTCCAACAAATCTTTGAGCGTACTTTGTGTCATTCAAATTATGTCGGGAGCACCATCCATTTGACGCCAAACAATTTTAATAAGTATATAGAGGTTATAGTCTACTAATAACATTCTAGTGTTGAACGTTGCAATCAAATGTTTCTCCAACAAATCGCCTATTTTAACATTCGAACTCCGTCGTCCATGAGAAACTCTAGAATCTTATTGTAGATGCATAGAGTTTCATGGAGTGCAATAGACGCAACGATGACTCGCGTGCCCTTTCTCAGAATCAATACCATATTGTTCTGCAGGAAGTATTTTCAGATTCAAAAGGCGGCCATGTGCAATGAGAAAACTCTTAGGAAGACAGTCGGACCTGTACATTCATTTGAGGAAAGAATTCCCTTCTTGGTCGGACTTGTGTAGCCGACACACCAATTTTTGTGAGATAACGATCAATCAATCTCGACTGTCAAATTACTTGGAGCTACTCTAGGTTATAGTTTTAATAAATTACATTCCACCAAGAGAATGTCAACTGCATAACACTTTTTACATGTAACACCTTATAGTGACTGGCATCCAATTCAATTCTCCTTAGAATCGCATTATTGAATAAAATCTCGCTTTCTGATTGGTTATTGGTTAACGAAGCGAGGTATTCAGCGTGGAATTGCGAGTTGAAAAGAGGCTAAGTGATATTGTTTCGCATCTACGAAACAATTGCATAGCTAAAGGCAAACTCGCGGTCTGATTGGCTATCGAAGAAAGGGTATTTAGCGTGGAATTGCACTTGTGCATGAAGGGATATTGCTGACGTAAGTCGCGAGCAAAAATTGTTGCTATCGTGGAAACAAAATTGGAACTCGTGCTACGAAAATGTCAAATTGGAAATGAACAAAGTAACAGAAAATAAATGTCTGCCAAATTCTGAAGTGAACTTGAAAGTTTTAGAAAATTTGAGGAAACTACTTACACTCAAAAGTACGAGAAAACGCATTGAAGAAAAAACCAAAATGGCAGAGACGAGGGAAGAAAGCCAAACGGCAGTTCTTGCCGAGGAAAACCCAACAAGCGTCGCGAAAGAAAACCAAACAGGTATTAATGCCGAAAAAGGTCAAGCATCTCTTTCGGAAAACCAAACAATTGTAAGCTATACAGATGACGAACTGGTCTCTTAAGGACAACATGGTTTCAAAGAACACTAAAAAAAAAGTACAAGTACATACATACACCGTTTGCAGTCTCGGTTCAAGGAAATGAAACACGTGCAACAAATTTATCTCGATGCAATTTCAAAGCAAGAAGCACCGCAGCTTCTCAAGCACTTCTTTATAGAAATAAGGCAGACGACAAAAGAAAATAAAGGCAAAGAATATGAACCAGGAACATTACAAATTTACAAATTAGAGTGGTCGCAATACAGCTATTCAAGAGCTCCGTGATGATTTCGACCCACTGGAGTTCTCAGAGCTGACTTGCCACACCAATCCGGAATCCATATCCAGCTACAGCCATAATCCTTGGGAAAAACAGCGGCAAATGCCGAGTAAGTTGGCCGGTTTCAACCTAAACACAACAACTACCAACAGCGATTCAAGTTATCCTTTACGGGGGATTATCCTCAACAGCTCAGCCCCGCCAACCGTGACAAGAGTGCTAGTCGATCTGGTTACCTGATGGCAGAGGCAGTTGGCGGAATGTTTTACTGGAGTAACTTTTAATAATTCTCCAGTATATATTTCAATAACTTTCAGTCCAGCATGACACCAATAAGCGACTCTCTGCAATAAAAGAAAAACAGTTAAAATGGTGACTTTTAAGCTTTTTTCAGCTAATTTTTGGAAAAGTTAACTGAGAAATTCCAGTGTTAATCATTATATTTTGAGTACAACTTTTTTATAACTGTAATTTAAAGCACTTACCGGTTCTTGTAGATCTTGTTTTAGAACCTGAACGCTTGAAATTTTCCTTTCGCTTGAGTATTTCAGTTGTTGATTGTCGGAGCCACATTTTGCCAAGTTCTATGGTAGCAGGCAAATCCAAGTTATTCTTTGAATATAGAATTTTTCTACAAAATCTTTGTCTTAAATAACTCCGTATTGTACTTTCGGTTTTTCACTGAAGATTATTGTAAAATGTGATGTACTGCTTTGTCCACGAGGTTGACATAAAAATGGTTTTCATTCTAAAAATAACTTGTTACCTATTCGCTAGATCTTGACACCTGACTTTGAAAGGGTTTGCATTGTCTGCGCACTGGCGCGGCTCACAAAAATGCATGTACAAAATGTTTGGTTTCCCCAGTGATTTAGTGGCTTTAGCTATGCGATTCAAGAGAAATTCACTGCCTGGCGAGTGAATTCCACGCTGTAAACGATCTTGTCTTAGATTGGTCAAAAAACTGACAAGTGAATTCATGCGTGTAAATGAACTTTATTTTCTGATTGAATACAAAATTCTCTTGTGCAAAAGAAAAATAAAGCCGGCTGTTTCATTGGCCAATTTACAACAGGCCACACCTTAGCTTCGTGTGACAGAAAATTCGACTTACAAACAAATCTAGGAAGGAAGGCAGCTCAAGGTTCCTAAACATTTTCTCTCTATCGACACCAAAGAATATTTCAAACATACTTTTATGGTATAAATATTTGAAAACATTTAAGCTGAAAAACATGCCAGAGTCAAGTCAATGTCCGTTGCTGGAATCTGAACCAAAGTTGATGTGGACATGTGCTTGTTGTATCGTTCAGCTGTTGAAGAGCGAGCAAAGATAGCTGCTTGATGTTGTTGCCGCTCTCATCTCGATCTTTTCTTGAATTTGAGTGCCGGTGTTAATGGCGGTGCCAGAAGAATGAGTGCTTTCAGCTATCAGACTTCTTGACAAAACTTCACTGCAGTGTTGTAGTTGTGAAGTGGAAGGCTGCCAGACTCTGCTCACTACGGTGATCAGATATTGCCATAATATGGCGATTTTAGATTCCGGCATTTGACCACAAGGTGATCGCAGTGGCGCTGACGCTGAGGTTGGTGTAGACTTTCGGCAGTTTTGCTGCCTTGCTGATGCTTTTCATCATGTTGTCGAGCTTGTTGACACCGATCGGTCGAGCATCGTACCAAATCTCATCCTCGTAATTCCACTGCTTCTTTGGATATTGAAAAAATGCATCGCTTTTAGGATTCAACTTCGAGATATATAGCAGCATGGCTTTGTAACCGTCGTTTCCATTAGACGTTTCGTACATCCGTGCCAATTTTTCACTGCTTGGGACATCGCTTACACCACCTGGATGATTTTTAGTTACCTCATCATTGCGCCACGGTTCAAAGGAGGCGCATTGAGGTACCTTTCGAAGGAATGCCGGAAACCAAGAAGAGTGGATTTACTGTACGGTTCACCAGATCTTTTTCTTGCTTCGGCATAAAATCTTCGTAAGTTTGTGTCCAGTTGTCCATTTTGTGTCCAGTTCATTTTCTCGATTGTTTCAATTTTTTTCTCGTTGCACCAAGCTTGAATAAAGACGAAAACATTGCGGGTTAATTTTTTAGAATAAGCATATAAGTTTTCTTATACCTTACATTGTATGTTTAAAATTACATCAGTCGAAAACCATGACAGTTAAGTATTAGTAACGAGCTGCTCCTTTGAAATGTTTACATTGCCGACAGATTACTGCACTAGAACTATTGTTTTCATAGCAACTGTAAAGAGAATAAAATACTCTTAAAAACATTCAGATAGAAGTATTTACCTTTGAAAGTTCCAACAGACCAGTTTGTTATTTGGTTGGTTATTTCAGAGTGTCTCTGTGCCAAGATATCTTCCAACTCGGACTCACTCAGAGTTGCGAAACGGGATGATGGCAGTGCTTGTTCTTTGTTTTCTTTTACTTTTCGTTCTTTTCGGGAAGTTAAAAAATCTCCATTCTCAAAGAAAAAGTAGGCAGTTCTTCCTCATCAGCTTGCTCAGAATTTTCCATGTTTGGCGTAAATTGTCACTGAAACCTTAACCAGTTAAAATCTCAAAGTAAAAAAATCGCGGAGAAAATGTTTTTCTCGAGGGATTTCTTTGCTGACGTCATGAGCGTGCACAATATTGAATTTGATTAGACAAATTTACTAGCTATGCTATAACGCTTTTTTAAATTGTCACTCACACAGAAGAAGAAATAAATATCTCTAAAGGCGACAAGGCCTCTGAAAACACGAAAAAGAGTACTAGTGCCTCCGTAGGCCGCTTGCAATCGTGATACTTACAAAAGTACAAAACAGCTGAACTTGAACAGCATTTCTGAACCAGAAGTTTCGCAACTTCATAAGAATTTTTTTGTCGAAATGCGACAAAGAGGAAAAGAAAACAAAGGCAAAGAATACGAGCCGGGCTCTCTACAGACATACCATAGTGATGTTCGAAGATATTTTCTGCAGCGTCCATGTCCTCCAGGTCCTGACAACTTTGATTTTGAGATTTTCAAGAAGTTGCCGCCATGCTGTCCGTAAAAGAAAAAGGATCTAAAGAGGAAAGCCCTCAGAAACAAGCCAAATGCAAGTGAACCGTTCGAATATCATCAGATTGAGCAAATGTGGTCCTCAGGAGCTATAGGCTTGCAAAATCCCCGCTCGCGTCTCCATCTTGTTTGGTTGAACAAAGTAACTCACTTAGGAATGAGAGCATTCAAAGAACAGTGTGATTGTCAGGTAGAAGATTTCATCGTCAAAGAAGAGTACGTCGAATACAAAGAGCGTCAAACACTGAAAGAACCACTAAGGTGACGAAAAAAGCTCCAGGAAAGGGGCGCGAAAGTACAACAACAAAATATGGAAAACCGATGGAGGAGAGAGGGATCCATATCGAGCCTTTGTAGAGTATGTTGGCCACCGTCCTCAAGGTGACAAAGTTCCTGGGAATTTTTTGCTAACTCCAGTAGACGTGCCAACAACAAATGTGTGGTATAAGGCAGTTCCTGTGGGTCGAAACACACTGCCGAAGCAGATGAAGACCATTGCATCTGTTGCTTCTTTGGATGGCAAGTTTACAAATTCAAGTGGCCGTAAAACGGTAATTCAAAGTCTTCGTGAAGACTTCCACCCTCTTGAGATCTCTGAGCTAACAGGTCACGTCAACCCGGATTCAATATCCAGCTAGGGCCATCATGATTCCTCTAGAAAAACGACGAAGGATGTACCACTGTCACAGCTGCCAACACCAGCGGCGGTCCACACACTGCAGCTTTGCGAGAAGTTAAGGTCAACAGCCTTGCAGCTCCATCAGTAGTTGGCGATAACACAACGGCAATGAATAACGGCAGTGATGGTCAAACAACAAGAGTTTTAGGTGGGCTGTTCACCAATGTATCGTTCAACAACTCTCCAGTAAATATTTCCATCAACGTTCAGTCGAATGTTCATCCCAACGATTCAGCAAATGGCAGTTGCCTGCCATGAGTTTCTACAATTACAAGGATCAAATTTTTCGGACTTTTCATCTTACACTTCTTTGTTTTTGAAGGAATAAAATATTGATCAATACACGTATTTAAATTTCAAGGTACTTACCTTTTATTAGTCGCGATGTTAAAGTTTCAGTGCTTTCGCTTGCTCACTTCATTTTTCTCAGTTTGCCACCAGAGGTAAAGGTGTAAATTATTTTCCTTCTCGAGCAAATGATTTAGAATTTTGAAGAAAGATGTTATAGATAAACGGCTTGTAAATGCAGTGAAATGCCACTATTATCCTGAAGATAGTGTGAAGCTTGTTTAAAAAGTTTGAAAACTAATGTAAAAACAAGCACGAGGTACAAATAAAGTTATCGAAGGTTAAACGTGCACGACTAACCTAGCTTTCTAGTCGCTAAACGCAATGACAGTTCTGACTGTTGACTTTGAAATGGCTTTCTGAAGCGCGCTCGGGATAAAAACAAAAAATTATATTGCCATTTCCTTGTTTACTTATTTTTATTCAGTTATACGATACAAGTAAAATTCGCGATTCGTGCGATATCGGTTTCCGCGTGAAACTTAACGGAATTCCCGGAAACTTAGCGGAATTCCCTCGTTAGGGAATGAATTTTCCTGTACAATATTATCCCTGAATCGAACGTTCTGGTCGCAAGAATACAAAGGAAATGATCATCAACTAATGAAGCTCTTGATTGTTTAACAAATTTTCCTTGTGAGCACCTTAGGAAATGTGTAGAAAACAGTAGGGAGAGTATGCATACTGATGTTGAGAGTGAATTGGCTAAATTAAAGTAGATCATTAGAACCCAATCGCAAACACCGAGTATTTTATCGAAGTGGGAGTAACTAGTGGTGGTTAGTTATATTACCGAGCCGCAAAGCCATGAAAAGAAGACCATGTATATAACGGAAATAAATATCTTTATTCTGCACCACAATGTGGCGATATATCACAGCGCAACGCATTTGATTGGTTTAACAACCGGGAAAACGCGTCATTTAAAAGCGAATTGCACATATTCAGTTTAGATCGAACCCTCAATTAGACAAAATTCTTAACATCTTAACAGTACAGGAGTCGTTTCATTCTTGGAACCAAAAACATCATTGATATTCAACTACAAGGGTCCTGGTGAATTTTCACGAGACCTGTTCGACTGACTCCGTAAGTGGTTTTTGCCCTTTCGTTTGCATTTTCACGTAGTGTGGTCGTCACACTGTTGTGCATAACAAGGTGAAAAGGAAACAAATCAACTGTTTGGCCACTACGATTTAATGAACAATCGTGTAGCTCCCTTATAAAATCCTCTCCAAAACAACACAAGGCCTTTGGGAGTAAAAGGAGCAACACTCTAACGACAAACGTAACAATGGCCAAACAACGTTCATCAGTTGAAATTCATTATAAGAAAATTGGAGTTGCAAGACAAAACAATCTAGATTGAATATTGTGCAACTAATGCAATTTATAACACAGTGAATGCTGCCAAATTAATTCATTGTACAGGCATATTAACCAGAGATACAGAATAAATTTTCACTGGATAAAAAGTGCATTAACGTGTGGTAAAAATGACAAACATAACTCATGGTTTTAAGTTAGAACTAATGACGCTAACGTTTAACTAACCGTGGAATGGATCTTCAGCTCCATTTTTTGGTAAAGAAATGAAGCCGAATTTGAATGAAGAGTGATGCAGTTTTATTGCTGCAAGGTGCTGTGTTTCTGGCCCGAAAAAAGGCCATAGCAGGCGTGCACTATGAACGCTTTGGCAAAAAGTGTTAGATTCTACAAAACAATTTACAACAATTCTCTTTACTGACCATAACAGTGATTCCAATTCAACGCAACACAACGCGTTGCAGCGTCATAAAACTCTCACTCTTCTTACACTACCTAATTTTACTGAAATGAACGATTGGAAATCGCATATTTAAAATAGTTCACATGCAACGCTGAGGGATCGTGAAGATGTCTACGCAACATTAACCCTCTCTCTCCCATGATCGATAATTTAATTCTCCAACGCGATACCCATAAATTTCTTTGTTGATAAACCCTGAGAAAATTTTGTGTTTCATCCAATCAATCTCCATGAGCTGATAATTTTCTCAGTTCTCAAAACCTTTTTGCCAGAAAGTGCGTGAAAATTCTAGGGGGGGGGGGGAATTCACATTCTGGTCAATGATGGGAACAAGAGGGTTAACCAGTATATTTTGTTCAAGTAAAGAGGGAAACCTAGTTATGCAAAGTAAGATGATGCTATTCCTTCGTCTGGCACAAACAAAAAATGCGGCGTACAATTATTCTGAGACAGTCTACCATAGGACAAGTATTTACAGACGAGATTGTTACGTATAACAAGACGAACAGAGTACCACCGAAATTATCCTTGCAATTTACGATAGCTTATACGAATGGTGGCTTATTTAGGCCGAGCCAAAAATACAATTTACAGGAGAAAACGAGGGGGGAGGGGGTGGGGTGAATCCTCTCACACCCAGAATTTGACGACGGCTTGAATTTCAATAATTAGTAGTCCTCAAGATTTTTTGAAATTTTATGCAATAGGTGTAAAAAATTTCTTTCAAGGTCTTTGATTTAAGACCTGGAAATCAATAAGAGAGGCTGATTTAAAAAGCAGAAAGAAAAACCAATAAGATTAACTAAGAAAAACGAGCGATTCTTGACGCAGTCGTGACACGTGTTCACGACGTGACGAAAACGATTTTTGAGTGACATCAAAACTTAAAGCTTAGACAGCTTAAAGCTTAGACAGTCACGCTACAGCCTGGGAAGATTAACATTGAAATGATCGTGCACAGATGACGCTTCATTGAACTTAACAAGGAAAAGAAAAAAAAAATGTGCAAAAAATGTGCTCATAAACCTCTAGGATCTTGCAATGAGAAAGTATTATTGTCAAATGACGGAGGAAAGTGCTGATTTTTTTAGAATTCATTGTACCGGCCACGGCGCTGAGCTGGCAGAAAAATTCAAATATAATCTTCCATTACCTAAATTAAATATCGTACAGCTCGCATGAGAATTCGATTGATGCTTGAATTTAACGCTTTGTTCATTATAGAAAATATAGCTCTCTTTTGTACAAAACAGAAAACGCAAAAGTATCAAAAAACGTTAACTACGCTAAATTGCTGACACCGTGAGCGACCAAGCCAACAGCCTGGGAAGGATTCTGGGATAGCACAGTGTCCACAGCGCGGTGGGTTACCTGAAACAACAGCGAAGAGGAAAAAAAACTGTAAATATATTATAACAAAATACTGACACCTCATTAAGGCTGCAGAACTATGTCGAATCGTCAACAGTCACAAACTCAACTTGGAGTCACGATAGTGCTTGTATTTAGCAGTAAATTTAAGCTACTTTTATCAGTTCGCGAGCCAGAAGCGAGTGATCTGCGAACTTTTCGATCGTTCTACAATCATTCCACGTGGTTTATTTGGCCGGTAAACCGACTTAAAGAGTGGTCTATTGCTTTCATAAATTAAAGTGCGATTTTCAATGGGTTTACAAGTGCAATAAACTAACGCTTATTGACCAATCGGGACGGTCGTCGTACTTCATCAGTTATTTCATAAACGAAAATAAAAACTGTTACTAACCGCATGTAATTTAAAACTATTGTACACTTCAGTCAGCTCCTCAAGCATGTACTGCAAAAAGGAGAAATTGGTGTAAGATGATAACAAAGGATATCTGACAATCATTTCCTTAACCCTTTCACCTCTTAGAGTGATCAGCATCTAATTTCTCCTTACAATATCACCCCTGAATCGAAAACTAAGGTCGAGAGAAGACAAGAAATGATCACAAACTAACGAAGCTCTTAATTGTTAAACAAATTTTCCTTGTCAGCACCTTAGGAAATGTAAAGAGAACAATATAGAGAATATGCATACAGATATTAGGGTGTAAAAAGTCAATTTTAATAAATGTACTCCTTACAATGTACAACCAATATTTGACGTTTCACTAACACACTAAAAAAGTACCACTGGTGTCAAACAACTCGGCGATTTATCAAACGTAAGTAATTTGTTTTCGTTTTTACCTGATTGAGAACTGTAAATCCAGCAAGATCACCGCTGGTCTTTCTAGCGCAATCTTGACAATAGACCGAGTGTTTCTTGGTTCCTGTCACGAACAGAATATTGAAAACCTCCACCTGAGGAGAAAAAGAGAATGCACAAGTTAGTAAGCGGGTCACAGTGCTATTGGACAGAGTATCGTTAAATCAAATACGAAGTCATCAAAGAGCTCCTTTCGATGGTGTCGTTAACCTAAAACCAAAGTAGTCCTAATGGAAATCAGAAGAAAGGTGCCAAGCTTCCTAATGCATGGGATAACGTTGGCAAGAGACTTCTGAGTGTACGATGATGTCGTAACTCTTATATATGTCGAGACAAGCTTACAAGGAAGAACATAACACAGCAGAACAGAGAAGCTACTTACCTCGCACTGGGCACAGTAATGAGATCCTTCATTTTGTCTTTTGCCATGCCACACCACATCAATACCAGCATGCTTTAGTTTCTCCACAGTAATCTGACAATACCTAAGTGACCTGGCCAGCACAACTCTGAAAGCAAACGCAACACTTACAAGATTAGAACTAGCAGAGGATGGGAACAATGAAAGTCTAGCCGCAAAGATTTCCAAGAACATTTCTATGAAAGTACCACTTAGTGAAATATTTATTAGATTCATGGATTAACAATCACTAAAGGAATAGAAGGGAAACAAGAATATAACTTTGGCAAGGACTCACCTGATGTGTTCAAACAACTTTCTTTCTGTAACTTTAACATTTCTAGCGAGATTCCATGACAAGTGCAGCATAGCCACAATGGACTTCTCACCTGAAGGTGAAAATGCAGGGAATTTCATAAACAGTGAAGATCAGCAGCACTGAACTTAACAGCTGGACCATGAAAATAACCCTTTAAGTTACAATAGCAAAGAGCCTTCTTCTAAACTGATCACTCCTCGATCATCATTCAAAAATGTTTTTTGAAGCCTTAGTCAGAAGTAAAGTAATCACAAGGCTGGTAAATCAAAGTAAAAGCGATATAACCTGCTGTCAGTATCCTAAAATGAACATGATACAGCTACTGCTTAGCTACGCTAAACCAAGTGAAACAACGTTGAAAGAAGAACAAAAAAAAAACACTTGGAGATGTTTGCAAATGGAGATAGTGTTGTTCTTACCTTGTAGTTTGTTCCATTCATATCTTTCGATGGCTGCTGTGTACATATCCTCTGCAAAAATATCATTTCAATATTACAAACATAAATCGTTGCAAATGAACAAGGTACAGTAGGGTAGTTTGATTTCGTTTTATGAAGTCTCTAGAAAATGCATTCAATCTCCTTCACTCACCTGTAAGAGGACCGACATTCCAGGCAATATTGTTACACCAGCCCTAATAAATGCAAAGGCAGTTTATTAGAACCTTGGCACTTCTGTGATTTCAAGTTTACACTGCTTCATCCTCTAACTCCCATGAGTGACCAAAACAAAATTTCTCCTTTACAATATCAATACAATATCAGAGACGACAATCAAGAAAAATATCGATCACGGGATTATTAGTTGATCCAATACCAAGTTCTCCAAACTAACACAATAAGAACTGTATGGCAGACAGTAAGGAGATTTACGAATGAGATCTTAAGATTGAAATGGTTCATTGCTCACCGACGACTGCACCCAATGCACCACCCCAGGACTAAGCCAGACCAGGTCACCAGGCCTTTGTATGAATCTGTACACTGGAACACGCTCCTCGTAGAGTTCCTCCAGAATGGGCCACCATGAGCCTGCACAAACAACGAGATAAAGGAAACAAAAAGGGGGATTACTTAGTGGAAATATCAATTTGCCCGAATGTAGGGAGTTCCAATTTTTAACGATATATATGGATCGGTTAAAGGAGACACCACCAATCATAGAAATAGGGCCAGTGTTTCTACCTACACGTCGTCCATCGCTGTCTCAGTGTTTGAGAACACAAATGCTGTTTGGAGCTGGCAGGCTGTAGAGTGAGGGCTTGTCGTGTAGAGAAGGTGTGGGGAGAGTGGCTTAAAGAGAGTGGGAAAGTGATGTGTCACTGTAGTGAGAAGCTCCTTACCTGTTAGAAAATTGACGTTATTCCTGCAAAAGTAAAAACAAAAGTTACTATCAGTTGTCTTCAATCGACCCTGACGATGACTTCCGCCAAGATTGTCGAAATGTCAGTCAGCGCTACCAACACCAGTCCTTCTAACGACAACACTCACCCGGACGATCAGACTATATGTTCAAATGTTACCCTCGCGCTCAAGCCATTTACTGTCTCACTTTGAATCAAGTTACTTACTTTTCACACAAGTTGTGCAAAACGCCCCAATATTCGGTTGGAATTGCAAACCATTCCGAGTCTCCCGGTCCAATGTTGATATTTATGGCGTAAAAATTATTGTTTTCTTGATGACCTAAAGACAAATTTGATGGGTACAAAAGTAGCTTTATCATTATATGATGCAATAATAATGTAATCTTCTTGGTAACTGGCAAAGAAGCATACAGCCATTAGAATGCCTTACAATGCGATATTTGATCCTTCCTAAAAAAAAATACAGAAATGTTGGCAGTTTAGCCGAGATGTCCAGAGCACTGGGATTTCAGATCAGGAGTTTCCTGATTCAAATACTCCACGCTATCACTTAATAATATTTTGTTTCTTTTAAGTCGTGGATTCACCCCTTCTAATGCACTTTGAAAGAACGCAGCTGACATTTTTCTCCAAACAGTTAGGGTCTACCACAATTTAAGATCTATTCATTCAGTTCGTTTCAGGTTTTTCACCTCGCAGGTTAGTTCAGAGATGTACTTAAACATATTTCAAAATTAATCACCTTTTCTTTCTTGAAAACTAGACCTCGCTTTGTTAGGGATGCTATTGACCAAAGCTTGTTTGAACGGATAAATACCTGGTGTCCTGCATCCGGGTATCTTCATGTACAACTGCACTGAGTTCATGCCAAGAATTGTATGACCAATATGGCTTAACATGTTCCCAGGACTCACCACCTGAGTAAGTAAAGAGATTACAATCAGTAGATCTCCTAGACGAATGCCAATAAAATAAAGAACTTTGAAGACTTACTCAGATTGTCACAGTTTGCTGACCATTTCTCAGTTCATATAAGCTGTTCCTGGCTTCCAGTGCGATAGTAGCAGAGGACTGAAAAACGAGGGATTTTTTTTTTTTTTGGGGGGGTCGGGTGCGTGACCCGACCCGATCCGATCAGAACCAAACTTTCCTCGTTTTTTCGCTCCACCGCTACTACCGCGCTTCGTTCTATGAACTGAACCTGAACGCCCGGATCACTCCAGGATTCAGTCGGTGTATATTTTTNTAGAAAGGAACATAGGAACCATTCGTGCTAGTCCACCCTCCCACCCATCCCACCCCAGGGGAGGACATCCATCACACAGTAATCTCGTGTGTGGGAAATTAACGTCTCCTACCCCTAACCCTGCAGGAGACGGGACCTCCATTTATTCGTCCCTATCCGAGAAGACTAGAGTATCTAACCATTTCTTGAGGTTATAGCAAGGAAGCAAATTCTTCTCAATTATTTTAAGACCCTGAGTGTTGGTCCGGCCGGGACTCGAACCCTCGACCTCCCGCACAACAGTCCAGCGCTTATTTATGGATCTATTGCGAAGCGCGCGGGCCAGAAATCCGAACGGAAAAAAATTAACAGGTTCCGTAACTTACAGTTCGGACAGAGAAAAACGAGGTTAGTGAGGTATTTATTTTATCTCTGGGTTTCAAATAGAGCGGAGGACTTCAATTAAAAAAAACTCTTGAATTTCGCGGGCCATACAGAGAGTTACAGCCCGCTAAATTGGTCAAATCATAGCGCACGTACTAACTGAGAGATATACTAAGGCATGGCATAGCACTATTCAATCTGATTTAGAAACAGAAGTAAACAAAAAAAATCTTTGTTGGGTAGGTAACTCACTTCTTGGAGCTTGACGATGAATCACTGTCTGATTGCGATGGTTCTTTGATTCCGGCTTGTCTGTCCTGCTCCTCCTGAAGTAAACAAACACAATAAACACTTAAGTTCCCCTATGACAATCGCACCTGTTGCACGACTATAACAATTTTATTAAAAAAGGTTCGCAAACACTTTTTGATCTAAATCGAACTTTCTAAAATCTATATTATCACTTCTCTAACGCGGTTACCTTCAAAGACTCTTGAAACGAGTTCGCCTGATACTGGGCATACTTTGCAATGGTTGTATAAGACCTGTAAAAAAAGAAACACCATGGATAGACGGCGTTACTGTGATGTTTTTGTGAATCCAGGGCTTCATCGTAAAAGGAGAGGGGAGGGTAAGGAACCAGAAATTTTTCGAAGGGGAGGGAGAACAGAAACCAAATTTCTCACTTCCGGATTGTTATCAAGAACTGCCACAAAAATGGTAGAAAAAACATCATTTACCTGCTGCTCTCACACAGCCAGACCTTGTTTTCACCAGCAGCATCCCAGTTTTCGTCTGACGCTTGAAGTCTCTGAAATGGACGGTAAGATAATCAGCAAATTTGTTATCAACCTAACTCATTCACTGGTCTGGCAATCATCTTAGTGAATATATAAGGTTCAGCATTTTAAGATACTGTCAAAGAGACTAAAGACAACCTAGATATTAGGGCACTTTTCGATTCTCATACAACCATGACCAACATAATTACAACGGCCAATTAGAAGAAAGGAAAATATCCTGAAGAGCCAATGAGAACTAACAGCTAAAGCGCGGGAAAACGAGGGCGACCAAGACGCGACTGGTGTTGGTTTTGAATCTGATTGGTCGAGAGAGTGGCGCGAGTTTTCCGTACCAATCACAGAGCAAATTAAAGAAAAACCAATGTAATCCCGAATTACTTTCGACATTCAATTGAAAACTGTTCTATTACCAGAAACAGTTTCCTTCGCTGTTTAGAACTGTGAAACTGAGTTTAAAGCTAAAACAAACTATACCTGTGTCCTGACTTCTACTTGGTGTTCACCATTTGTTTCAACAAGAGTCTTCGTTGAAAACAAACTAAGATCTGTAAGAAAAATCAATACTTGGCTTTATTTTTAACGTACGAGACTCCAAGGCATTAATGGATGGAGCCAAAGGGTTTATACAGAAGCAGCTGTAAATAATAAATTGCAGAGTCCGAAAAGTAAGTCGCGATGGCACGCAAAGTTTACCGGAATTTTGAGGTTGGGTGTGAAGTATAATTTATTATGCCTTTCTCAGCTGGAGTTCTGTGATGCGCACCAACATCAACTTCTTTTTTTCGCTTATTTTCCTTTTCTTTTGGACTTGCGCGACGGACTTCGCCGGAAACAGGGACGGCTAATAGCCTAGTTGATCTTTTCTTGAAAACATTTAAAGTAACCTGTCAAGTATTTCAATCGTTTCAATTGTTTCAATCGTTCCGGTACAACAAGAAAACTATGCATAAATTGTTCAATCAGATACAAACCTAATCTAAGTGCCGCTGCTAACCCTCTGATCACTAGGATGGGATTTGAATTACTCAGCACCAAGTTTTGAAGTGCTGGTGAAAATGCATCTTTCTTGTTTTCAACCTACACAGGAATAATCAAAGAAAATATCACCACTGAAATAGCTAATGATAGAGGGATTGGTGAGCATGAAAGTCACATTTAAAGCCAGACACTGCGCGAGTTAATTCACTTTAAAATACAAAGTGCAAGGCTGTGCTCTAACGAAAATTAAATGGAGCCCAGTGCTCTGAAACTGTGAAATCCAGAGTGCCCAGTATATGCTTTTTATGAAAAAAATAAAATTCCTGAGTCGCCCGAGAGCAGAAGTAAGGCGCCAGGGGCCACCGGGCGCTGCTAGACCACAGCCTTAAAGTGTAGTGTAGCTACATGTAAATGGTCATTTAGAGATAAACTCTTGGGACATGAACTCCGAGTCATAGAATTTAAGTTACATGGGAAACGCACTTACATAAATACTTGGCGTCTGTGGCGACAACTTGTCGGTAGGAAGAGGAGGGAGTGGAGTGTCTGGAGGGTGCGGTAACGCATTGGAATCAAACAGCAAGTTCAATTTTGGAACAGCCAAATTATCACCCCCCGTGCTGAGGTTGAACGGTGACTTGGATGACGAGCTAGGCGAGATGACTGCGAGTTGTTTTGATGGAGATAAGAGATCCGTTGGAATAAGAGAAGCTGGAGAGAAAGCAGACTGCCCTCCCTGTAGACCTGAACTTGGCGATAAACAGCTTGGGTTGATGATAGACAAAGGTTGAGTTAGACTGGGGGAGAGCTGAGATGCGGTCGGGTGAAAAGGCGATTTTTGTGTTGGCGACATGACATAATGACTTGGGGGTGAGAAAGGAGAAATTGTTGATAATCCACTTGCTGCTCCGGCAGCTGAACTTGGAAATCCCGTGTACGTTGACATGGGTCCATTGCTAAGTGTGGGGTCACTCGTTCCTGTTAACGGGCTTGGCTTCACATCAGCAGTACAATTTATTTCATTCAAAAGAGCGGAATGCATTTCGTTTGATAAAGATTGTTCACAAGTTGCTGTAGTTCCAGATTCACCTTGAAGAAGAATTGTTCCTTCACTACTTGGAGCACTCGAATTAAACATTGTAGCATTAGATGACGTTGAAACAAAGTTTGAAAGAGGAGAAGTAATCGTTAACGCATTAGACCCTGCTATAGAATTGTGCTCTTCGGTCACTGCCATCATAGGATCACCCCCTGCAAGAGAGGTTTCCATGGCAGCAACGGTTGAATTACTGTGCGCCTCGGTGAAAATTGACTCTGACTGCGAGAACGGCCCAGGTAATGAAAGCGTAATTCCTTGAGTTGCGATGATAGATGTAACAGTTTGTGTCAAACTGTCGGTAGATTTGGCAAATTGATTTTCAGAGCATGTCGAAACCAAAATTTGACCATTTTGTGGTTGTACTGCATTAGACCAGTTTTCTCCTGAGCTTGAAGCAGGAACAGAAGCTTGATTAAGTCCATCATGATTTTCACCCTTCCCGTCCTGCAAAGAAACATGGTTCGCCATATTTTTACCAGAATACATGACTGCATTCTCCATAGGAACTGCACTATGAGCCTGTGCATTGTTTGGCTCTGTAACCTGTTGTTGTTGTTGTTGTTGTTGTTGTAAGTATATTTGTTGTAGTTGTTGTTGCTGTAGACCTTGCATCTGAGCACTTGTTAATAGCTTTACCTACAATGAAATAATAAAAAAAAAAACTAGAGTTCAATGTTCCATTCCTGTAAAAGTAAAATCGTAGGCAGTATAAAGATTCCTTACGCAGCCATTAAGGAAGTTTTTTGGTCCCGACAGAATGAGAAACATGTATTACACTTTATTTGGTTCCCCATACAAATAAATTCTTTTGCAGTTACTGCATTTACATGTACACACATTTACACTGTACACTTCAAAGGAAAATTAAATAAATATAATTTTTATGACTAAGTTTCTTTTTAGGATCAATACAATGGCATCAAATGCTACTAGTATGAATGTCTACATTACAGGGTTGTAAAACAGGTCAAAAGTACTGTAAGTTCAAAAGAATCCCCTTTGTAAATTTTCAAATATGGAGGACATTGCTTGGTATACATCTTTGGCAACAAGCCCCATTGCTTTAAACATTCCGCAAGCCACACATGTGGTAAGAAGAATGACTGACTCCGAAACACCAACTGAAACTATACAGAGTGCTCAGAACACCAGATGAGCTACAATGAACCTTCTCAGACCATACATTAGGTTCCTACAGTGCCCTTACACTCATTCTTGCAAGATGGACTGCATGTATATTCATGGCCAATGAACTATACTCATGGCAGGCCTTACTTGTGCATTCCTTATTGTCCTTGTTGTAAGCTCTGCTGGAATAGGTAACTGCCAAGCCTCATCGACAGATGGAATATTCCTAGGAGAAAAAAAAGTTTCACATCTAAGCCAATGAATTTGATGAATATATACCCCTGCAGGAATATAATACCTTGGTAAAACTAAGTGCACAGTTGGAAAGCAAAATACTCTACAACCTGAAAAAAATAAAATAAAGATGGGACTGCCAAGAGAAGGAAGTTACAAACACTTAACCTTTGTTTAGACCATGAGAGAATTTGAAATGGAAGAACTTACTTCTTTTGTGCTTTCCCTTGCTGAGGCATCATAGCCAGCTGGGCTTGCAGTGCCTTGACTCGAGCCTCAATTGTATTATCAGTTGCACCTGAGGATCAACAATTCCACATGAACTCAATTTAACTAAGCATTTAAAAGAAAGCTTTGCACAAAAATTCAGTTTGTTTTTAACTTGAATAACTCACCATATTTCCTAGCAGCACTGTAACATGCAATCGCATCACTGCAAGTAGAGAAAGAAACAAACCAAAAGATTTCAGGAAAAACATCAGATGCAATTTCAATTACAAATAAATCAAATTTTACAGCCTTTCTTTAGCCATTTACATGTACATGTTGTTCCTGCGAGTGATTAACATGAAACTCCTCTTTACATAATTATCCATACAATGTCTAACAACAGGTAATGAGAACACTCAAATTATTTTATCAGTTAGATGTTGTTAGCTTGATCTAGAACCAAATACCGGTATACTTGTTCGTAACTCACAGGAAATGTGTAGCAGCTAGAGGGGAGAATTAGTGATCAGATCTTGGATGTTTAAGGGAGAAGAATGCAGTACAAGTGCAGACTCAAATGCAGTAAAATTATGTCTACCACAATGGTGAGGGAAAGGGAGTGTTGTTACAAGTGAAAACCAAGCCCAAAGATAAGGGAGATTCCACATGGGTAACTGTCCTCCAAGCTAAGGGGAACCTCAACATCATAAAGATATCTTGAGGTTCAAATTTCTCCTTGCTTTAAATTAATTTTTTTCAAGCTAGTACGATTTTGTTTTTCTCTCTAGGGCATTTGCTAACTTAAGATATTTTAA